GCGTATATTCCTTTCAGCATCATCACCAGTAGGTTCTATTGGTGTCTCTAACACAAATCCATTGCAACAGGATTCATTCTAGCCCTCTTCTCTTGGTTATTGGTAACTTCATTTTTTCTCCAATAGTAAAAAATCTGACTCATTATGTACAAAAATCATTCTCAATATATTGTTCAATCCCAGTATATATATGGATGAAGAATTGCTAACTAGTACTCCCACAGAAAATGAATTTACAAGTGAGAGGGCAGTGTTGAATAGTTCTTGCTATCTCTTGCTTCATATCATCTAGTCAAAACATTGCTTTTCATAGTGATTTAGATCAGAAACAATATTTTAAAAGATGAAACCCAAATTTTAAAACACACACACTCTTTCAGCAGGCAATGTCAAGTTGAAGATTTTATATATCAATATGTAAGGATACATGTGTGAGAATGTCTATTGTAGCTTGACTTGAGACAGTGGAAAATGGGAAAAAGCTAAAATGCCAATTAGCAGGGATCACATTTTGGCACATGAATGTAATGGCTCACGTTTGCAGTCAAATGTTCTGCAGCCATGAAAAGCAATAAAACCTTTTCATTTGAGATCATTTGGAAATTTAAACTACAAAAAACATGTGAATTATAGAATGATTTCTTTGGTGTTAAAGAACTCAGTATACATATACATCTGTACTTGTATACACACAAAAATGAGTGTATTTTTTATGTGTTCAGCCTGAGCCTCTTGAAAGGTTGGAGGAAGCAACCAAGAGACACCAGCAACAACTGGATTTTGCATTCTTTTCTACGCAAGCAGATGTCTGCCTGAGGTTCTTTATTTGGCATTTGAAACCAACTTCCTGGAATCCACGTCCTCACTATGAACAAGCAATAGTGTCCCAGAAACCTTGTTCTTATGGAGGAAAATCCAGATAAGCATGATGGACTTGTTCTGCCAGCTTCATAAAACACACATTTTGCATTAAGAGGCAAGTCCTTTATAACTGAGAGTTGAAGGGATGTCGGTGAGTGAGTGCACCTAGAAATAATCTCTCCGGGTAAAATTTAGGTATTTGAAAAAAAGCCACCTGTAAAACACTATTTGATCTTCAAATGGTTTGGGATGCTTCTTTTCCCTCAAAGGAAGAAAGTAGAGTAAAAAAGTGAAAACGTCATGGACTGTGAAATCTGATAGAATTGGTTTTTCAATTTCATTCTGCCACTTACAGCTATGGCAAGTCACTAAATCATCACCTGTAATGTGATCCTGGCACAACAAATATGGTTTTCCCTTTTCCTCTTCCCTCTTCCTGTGTTTTGGTACTACCCAGTTATCTAACAACAAACCATTCTAAAACTTCATGGATTAAAATAACATATTTTCAGATTAAAGTGAGGTGATAAACTGAAGAGAGCTCAAATGAGCAGAAATCGCATTTTTTGTAACTAGCAGAGAATTGAAATTTAGGGAAGGAATGCACAGGTGAGGCCAGTGAGGGTTTGGGGCAGGCTGTACTTACAGGCAAGGAGAGCAAAGATGGAAGAATACAGCCAGACACCAAACGGTAAGTTCATTGGCTTGAAGATGGGGAGAGATTCTTGGTGGGTGCTCATGGGTTAGAAAATAAGTCTTGATCTTTATGGGAAAGCAGCCTCTCAATTCTTTTTTTTTTTTTTTAAGATTTATTTATTTATTTATACAAGCACTGGGGACAGTCAGAAGCACGAGAGGGTGAGAGAATTCACCAGAGCCAGAGCGGGGAACAGAACAGGCAGACGGACAAAGTACACTGCTGAGGGGAGCAGCGGGCGGCAGGAGAAGACTGCACGCCATGTGGGACCCTCGCCTGGTGGCCGGGGATTGAACCGGTGCTGCAGAGGCTGAGGGCAGCTTCACAACCCAGCACTCAATCACTGCGCCACCGGGGAGGCCCAGCCTCTCAATTCTTAAGGTCCACTACTCTCAGGGCACATGCACGAGAATCTTCATTCCTTATCCTGTAGCTCATTTTTCTGTTGAAATCCTTCACAACATTCCTTTTGCTCAGGGCTAGAGGAGTTCTGATGTGGCACCTGTTATTCTCACTCTTGTATTATTCTCTCCTCTGGACTGGACCTAGTGACTTGTCTCCAGTGAATAGAAATGGCAAAAGGATGTGATGTCACTCCGTGATTAGATTGTAAAAAGGAATATACTATCATTTTCCCTCTATCACCTTCTTGACTTGCAGGTAGTAAGCTGCATGCTGGAGAGACCCAGCTGACAAGGAATTGCAAGCTAAAACTCAATGGGCTTTAAGGAACTGCACCCTGCTGGCAACCAGCTGAGGAAGCCTGAAAATGTATCCTTTCCTAGTAGGTCTGGGAAGGGTTAAAGCCTTGGTCACTGTCTGATTACAGCCCTGAAAGACTGACGTGGAGGACCTACCTAAGCCATGTCCAGGATACTGGTCAACAGCAGCAACAAAAGGAAATGTTTCAAGTTATGGAGTTGTGGGGTAACTTGTTATGCAGAGGTAGATAACTAATACCACAGGATCCTGCAATTTGGGGACCACTTAGCTAGGGATAACTTGTCTCTCCTTGCCTCATTGTCAGCTGGTTGGGTGTGGAAGTTCGGTGAAATCATGCGCATGTTCCCAGCTTCCTGCCTTATCTAGCTGAGACCTTACTTAGGTTTTGGCTAGAAAACACGCATGCAGGCAGACCTCTCCTGTCTTGCCCGCTGCTCCCCTCAGCAGTGTATTTCGTCAGTCTGCCTGTTCTGTTCCCTGTTCTGTCTCTGGTGAATCCTCTCACCCTCCCATGCATCTGGTCTGTACCCTGGTTCTTGTATGAGTAAATAAATAAATCTTTAAAAAAAAGAAAACACGTATGCAGCCTGTCCATGAGGCCAAAGAGTAAGGGGGAGGGAGAGAATAAAGGAGATGTGTGTGTGTGTGTGTGTGTGTGTGTGTGTGTGTGTGTGTAGGGGCGGGGGAGAGAGAGAGCGAGCGAGCGCAGAAATAAGAATTACAAAATAGATGAGTGTAATAAAAATATGGAAAGAGGAAGAGAATAGGAACCATGAAATGTAAGAAAGCAAAGACCCAGTACCACTCAAAATAAGACAGAGTATAGCAAAGTGTTTTAAAGATAGCTATATTAAGATATATATTTCACACACCAAGCAATTCATCCATTTAAATATTGTAATCCATTGGTTTTTACTATGTGTATCAAGTTGTGCACAATCAATTTTAGAATATTTTCATTACCCCCAAAAGAAATTGTTTATCCATTATCAGTTTCTTCCCTTCTCCTTCTACCCTCCCAGCATTAGGAAACCTCTAAGCTATTTTCTACGGCTATAGATTTGCCTGGTTTAGCCATTTCATGTAAGTGAGTTCTTACACTATGTGGCCATTAGTAACTGTGCTTCTTGATAACAATGATTTCAAGATTAAGTCAAGATTAATTAAGGCATGTCAATACATCATCATTTTTTATGGCTGAATAATATTTTGTTGTATCGATAAATCACACTGTATTTATCCATTCATTAGTTGATGCAGATTAGGTTGTTTGCAATTGGGGCTATTTTGAATAATGCTGATATTAATATTCATATATAGGTTGGAATTGCTGTGTCATATGATAACTCTACATTGAACATTTGGAGGGCCTGACGAGTTGTTTTCCAGAGTGGCTGTGCCACTTTGCATTCCCACCAGCAATGTATGAAGGTTCCCTCCACATCCTCACCACATCCTCTCTTTTTGATTCTAGCCATCCTAGTGTGTGGGAAGTGGTAGCTCGCTGTGGTTTTGATTTGCATTTCCCTAATGGCTGATGCATCTTTTCATGTACTTTCATCCATTTATAAATATTCTTTGAACACGTGTCTCTACAGATCCTTTGTCCATTTGTAAATTGGGTTATTTATTCTTTTATTGTTGAGTTGTAAGAATTCTTTATATTTTCTGGATACAAGTTCCTTACCAGATACATGATTTGCCAATATAGCTAACCATTCTGTGCTTTTGGATTTTTTTCATTTTTATCATGGTCTTGTTTGCATGGCAAAAGTTCATAGTTTTGATAAAATCTTTAATTTATCTTTTATTTTGTTACGTGTACTTTTAGTGTCACATCTAAGAAGATTTTCTTAACTCAAGACTAATTTTATTCCTATATTTTCTTTTAAGAATTTTATTGTTTTAGCTCTTACACTTAAATCTTTGATTGAGATAATTTTTGAGGATGAGTAAGGGAGGGGTCCAATTACATTTTTTTTGTAAGTTATTATCTTTTTTAAGTAATAAAGTTATAAATCCATCCTTTAAATACTGCTTTTCTGGATCAAGCAAGAGAAATTGGGATCCACTTTCCCTAAGCTCAACCACGTTTTAAACATAAGATTTCTATGACTACGGCTCCTTCTTCACGCTCTACTTGTTGATAATGTGAATGTGGGCACATTTCTAAAACAAGTAATTGTATAGAAAGACTTTAGTTATTTCATCTGTAAGTACAGGACAGTGTGATTTTCCACCCTGACTGCTTATTACATAGAATCTTCTAGAAGTTTTACAAAATGTCATGTTAAAGTTCTGCATCCAGATATTCTGACTTAAGTGGTCTGGGATAGTGTCTGAGCACAGGTGTTTCTCCAGTGGCCAAGCACCATTCCTAGCTGCACCTCCATATCCTCTGAAAAATGAGAGGGTGAGTAGATCTCCAAGGACCTACTACTGGACACCAGTCAGATTGTTGTCTTCCCCAAATTACTTCTCAGCTCCATCCATAAAGGTGTGTTAGGAACCGTCTTGTCTCCATCTTAGCTACAGGGGTGAGCACATTGACTCAGGTTGCACCAGCTCTTCCTGCCCTTGACTGTTACAAACAGAGGAGCATGGGAACTTGGGAGGAAGTTGGGAACAGAGATCTAACTCTAAGAAACTTATTGTCAGTTACAAATGCAGCAGGACATTGTCTCCTTTTTCCCTGTCATGTCTTTGTGTTGTAGACAGTGGCTCAGAGCCGTGCACGTGGCGAGTGCAGGTGGAACATTTATGGAATGAATGTGATGTGGGAATGCTCACCTCTCCAGTGTTCTAGAATTCAGGGCTAAAAGAGAGGGTTCCAAGCTTGTGTTTGGGAAAGGTATACTGGTGGCTGGAGGGAGGGGGTAGCATGGAAGAGGTGGATAGAAATGAAGTCAAAGGTACCTAAAGCGGCTGATGGCCTGGAAGGTGTTCTGTTCTGTCTTGCTTCCTCAACCTCCCCCCACCCCATCCCTCATGGCCTCTGGTCTCCATGCCATGGTTCATGTCATTTCACCTGCCACCCTTTAAGGACCCCATGACCGTGAGTCCCATTCCCAGTAATGTCTTTACCGGCCACCCCAATGGTAAGGGGCCTTCCCTCAGCGCCGCACACGCTCCATTTCTTGTTAGCCTGCCTGGCTCTGGAAGGGCAGGATCTTCCTCATTCCTGCCTCCCCGAGCCTGGCACATGGTAGCACTCAGGGCACATGTGCTCATGAGTGGCCTGGACGGAGTGAACCGATGCCAAAGCTGCATGGAGAGGCCTGCGGGAGCCTTCACCTCTGCTTCTAACCGTCTTAAAGCAACGCGGGTTATTGATAAAAAATCGTTCAGGTCTGGGGCTCCTAGAGAATCAGTCCATAATCCCCTAAACCACAAAGACCCTCTCCGTTTTTAAAGCCTCTCCTTTCCCACAGGCTTTGGTGGCTCCATCGGCAGAGGAGTTTACCCAGCTGTCACCACGGTAAATAGGAGTAAGGGTCTGGACCCAGGGAGTGGGACTCATTTCTCCAGACCATGAGGGTGGTGGCCAGGATCAGGTGAGGGATCCCTGGGATGAGTTACCTGAAACCCTTGTAGATGAACGGACGTATTGGGGAGAGGGGATGGGTTGTCCAAGAGTGCTCTGAAGCTATATGACAATAGTGTCCGTGCTGGGGCATTTTTCTGGATAGAGGATCAGTGGTTTTCATCGGATTTTAAAGAGGGTTGTGGATTCTAAAAGGTTAAGGCAGCTGGCTTGGACTCTCTCTGTTGGGGTCCCCTTGGTTTTAGGATTTTGTACTTTTGAAATAATAGGTTGTCTCAGGAGTAGAGGCCCAGGAGTGGAGATGCAGGTGGTGGCTGATTTCTTAGGGCCACCTGGTGGTGTCGGGGTGCATAGCACTCTATGGGCAATGGGGGAAACCCTGGACCTTGTCCTGTCTGGACAAATCCTAGAAAAGTGTCTGGGAGAAGTTTCTGGAATCTGGCTGCCTTCTCTCTCCAGGGGGTGAGAATAGTGCTGGTCCAAAGCTGGAAGGGAGGGCCTGGTTAAGGCTGGACCCACCCCCCTCACCACTCATTGTGTGCTCGGCTCCCTCTGAGCTCCCTGGGGAAGCTGTGCGGGAGTCAGAGCAGGGACCCAAGCAAACCTAGGTCTCATCGTATGGACTGTGTGCCAGTGGTGGCTCTGGGTGGGGAGGGAGAAGTTTCTGGAAGAAGTGGGGAGAGAAGGAACCTGGGCCAGACTTGGGAAGAAAGACTGAGATTTGTGTAGCTCAGTGGGCTTCCCTCAAAACAACTCCTTCACTTCCCCCATCAAATCCACTTCCATCCTGAGAGGCAGGCACTGTTGACACCCAATTCACAGGTGAGGAGACCAAGGCCCAGAGAAGTGGTGGGACTGGCCTAAGACCACACAGCTAGACTGTCTACTGCAGGTGAGTAACTCCACCTCTCCCAGCCTCCTCTCTTGGAAACCCCAAGGTTAAGAACTTGGACTGGGTTTGCATGCTTCCGGCGCAGACAGTTCAGGCTGGAAGGCAAAGGCCCTGCCTGTGTTCAGGCCTTCAGTGCCTTCTGTTGTGCAGCAGCCCATAGGACCAGGGCCTTGGGGGTCTGGAATAGAGCAGGAGGCCCAGGCCTGTTCCTCATGCTGTCCTTCCTGAGGCAGAAGGGCCCCATACCCATAGCAGGACATAAAACAATGGGGCCCATCACCCCAGCAGGTATTGGAGACTGAATATAATAGGAGCAAGGAAATGTCTGACCTTGGGTGACAGCCATGAAACATCACTGCACAAGCCAGGTGGAGACCGGGAGGAAGCCCCAGGCCTCTCTGCCTTCTCAGTTTCTTGCCACTTCTTTGACAAGGGACTCTTATCTTCATTCTGAGTTTGAAGTCTTCCCCTTCTTTTTCTCCCTCACTCATGGACCTCACTGCATTTGACTCTGTATTGTATTGGCCCTTTTGCTGATCTGCAATCCCCTTGGGCTCTGAGCGCCTGGGGCTCAGGGTGGGGCCAATTCGGTCCTACTTTACTCTGGCATTCCTAGTGGTCAGGCCCTGCTCAGGCACATGGTAGGTGTTACCCAAAAAATGGATCTGAAGAGAAAGTGATCCAATTTTACTGTGTCACCAAGAATTGTGGAGCAATTTCTTACCTGGACCAGGAATGTGAGCTGCCCACTGTAGAGCAGACATCTGTCTGGCTTGCTAGAAAGATGGAAATGAATAAGGCTCCCTGGGTCTTGCCCAGGTCCCCAGCAGGAGTGGATCTCCTGGCAGCAATAGACATGAGCAATTCCAAGTCCCTGTTGGGCTGTGTCACTGCAAGTCTGACCTTGCAGGGTATTCCCGGTGGGGTTTGTGAAGTTCATGGTAATCCCTGGGGAAGGTTTCTTTATGGCACCATTGCTCTCCTTTTTCTCTGGGTCAAGAAAACAGTTCACTCTCAGACTTTAAGTAAATTTTAAATAGTTATTCAATCGTAAACACATGAAAAAGAACATTATTTGCATGAACAATTATATGCGTGCACATATACACCTACTGTGCATCAAGCTTCAGACATTATTTTTATATGTTGCATTTTATTATTATTAATTTCAAAATATCATATTTCCATTGTAATACTTTGAAACCTCCCATGTACTTTCCTGAAATCGTTTCCTCATCTTCAAAGAAAATTTAATGTTTATAGTTTCTTTTATTCTTTATAATTTATCATATATATGTCTCAAAAAAGATATTATTTAGCATGGGAGGGGAGGTCCCTCCCCAAGTGCAAGCCCCCGGCACAGTGGGTCAGACACTAAGGTCACCTGACTAATACCTAATCACACCAGCCCACACCAGTGACAGGCAGACCTGTCAGCCAGGCGCCCTCTCTGCTTCTCTGGTCAGGAAGTCCAGCCTCAGTCTGTGTTGTGGAAACTCCCTTCTGTCAGTTAAAGTGCCCTCCTTGGCTGCCCATTAGATGGGGAAACTGAGGTTCTGGGATCCACCCTGATCTTTAGGGTAAGCATGAGTGACTCAGGACTGTTGTGTTTTCAGTTTACTGCTTTCCCCTGGGGAGCCTGATCTGCAGGTGGAGAAGTAGGTAAGTAAGATTTTAACTGGGACACTCAAGGCAGAAGGACATTGGTGGAAGCTCCAACAGCAATGAGCAGTGGAATACAAAATAGCAAGCTTGCTCCTATTTGCAATAAGCAGCAACGCCTAAGAACACTTGAACAGTAGAGCTGTGTGGTTAGGAAATGACTCACTCCAGGCCAGTGTGCGCCTACGGAATTATCGAATTATTGAATACTATTGACTCTACTGGTGGTTGCCTCCCTGTGCCTCTTCGATATGCTGGGAGCAATTTCCCTTCTCTTAAACAAGTTAAATGCATCTTTAGCTATTTTGACAGGCTGAAGTGTTAACTCTTGTTGAAATAGCTCTATTTGGAGTGGTTTGTTGATGTGCCACAATACATGTTCTCTTCCATAAAAAAACAAAACCAACAAAACCAACACATTATTTAGTTTTAAACATTTTTTTTGTAGTTTATGTGTAATCAGATTGCAAGCATTTTTTATATGACTTGATTTTTTTTTTTAAAGCCTTTGTATTAGTCAATGTATTTGTGATTTACTCATTTTTACTGCTGGATTTTTTTTCCATTTTATGACCAAATCACATTGTGTTTATCCATTCTTTATCCTTTTGAATAAAATTGCCTTGGTATAGCTGTACTTCAGCCTTTTACTTTCAACCTTTCTGTGTTGTTTTGTTTTAGGAAGGCCTCCTGTGAGTGGGACCTGTCACTTTCTTCTAATCAACAGAATATGGCAAAGATGTTTTTATATCTAGGCTGTCCTACCCAACTGAAGAGAAAGAGTTTCCTGCTAGTTTGAAGAAGCCAAAAAAAAAAAAAAAATCCCATGTGAATTGTCTTGGGGAGGGCTATGTGGTAGGGAACTAGGAGAAAAGTCTAAATGATGAAAGACAGCAGGAAAATGAGAACCTCAGTCTTATCACTGTAGAAGATGAATTCTGTTGACAACCTGAAGAAGCAGACTTTCCCCAATCAAGCATCAGATAAAACTGCAGCCCACTGGCCGCTTGTGACATGCTGAGTGGAGGCCACAGTTAAGTCATGTCTGGATTTCTGGCCGTGGACACTGGGGTAATAAGCAGGTGTTCCTTTCAATTGCTATGTTGATGGTAATTTACCATATGGCAATAGACATGAATACATTTGGATACTACTTTTCCAATGTTTTATTTGAATTTACTTGCAAACCCACTTCAACCTGGTGTTCTTTTTGTGTGAGGTTTTAAATGACAATCAATTATTGCAATAGGCAGGACTATGCAGGTTTCTTATCCTTATCAGTTTTCACAGTTGTATGCTATTAGGATTTTATTTCCTTAAACACTAAAATACAGCAACACAGGTTGTTTATATTATAGTCCTTTGACCTTTTTATTATGGATAGGATTTGTAGTTATAAACCTCTATTCATTATATCAGTTATTTGCTCCTCTTTCTCTTTCATCTTAACCAAGGTTTATCAATTTAATTCTTCTTTTTAAAGAACCAACTATGAGCTTTTCAATCTATATTTTATGTAAATTTTTTTGTTAAGCTAATTTCTGCTCCTTTATTATTAAACTTTAACTCTTGTTTTTGGATTTTGTTTTGTTATTTCTTTTCTATATTTGTGAGATAGATTTAAAAAATTTTCTGTAATATATGAATTTTAAGCCATATTTCCCTCTGGTGTTTTAGCAGTACCCAAAAAGTTCTTGTGTTAAGTATTTTATTATTGCTGACTTCAAAATATTACCAAATTTCCATTGTAATTATTTTCTTTGACTCATGGGTGTTTTAGAAATGTGTACTTTAATTTCCATGCACAAGGGGACTTTTCAATTATATTTTTGTTATTAATTCCTAGCTTAATTTTATTGTGGTTGGGCATATACTCAGCATAATTTGGTTTTATTTTAAAAATTAAGGTATAATTTACAAAACAATAAATTGTGCAGGCTTTCAGCATAATTTGATGACTTAGCCAAAAGTGTACATCCATGTAAATGGTGATTCAATTAAGATACCTTAAAAATTTACTTTAGTAAGTTCTTCAAACCCTTATCCAATCATTTCACCTCAACTTCCCTTCCTCCTTTGCTCAAGGAAGCTACTGTTTCATTATCACCAAAGCTGAATTTTGTCTAATCTAGAATTTTCTAAAAATGACAACATGCAATACACATTCTTCTGTGTCTCTCTTTTTTCACACAACATAACACATAACGCTTTTGTTCATTCATGCTATTATACATTTATTCCTTTTTATTTCTGAGTAGTATTTCCTGTATGAATGTATCACATTTTTTCAATTGATTTTTCTTTGATGTGTTTAAATTTTTTCCAGTTTTTGGCTATTATGAATAATCAAATGGACATTCTTGTACAAGTCTTCAATAGATAAATGTTTCCATTTCTCTTGGGTAGATACCTAGGAGTGTAGTTGCTGGGTCATAAGATTGGTGTATATCTAACTTTAGAAAAAACCGCCAAACTGTTTTCCAAAGTATTATACCATTTAAATGCTTACCAGATAGGTTAAAGAGCTCCACTGGTGACATATATTGTTCATTTTACATTTTCTAGTGGCATGAGTTGTTATCCCTTGGTAGTTTTAATTTGCTGTCAATGCAGTATGTGAAGTCCTAACTAGAGTAATTCAGCAAAAGAAAAATGTAAGAGGAATCCAAATGCCTATCTGCAGAGCAGCGGATTAAGAAAATGTGTTATACACGCCAATGGAATACTGCTCAGCTATAAAATAAGATGAACTCTTGCCATTTGTGACAGTATGGGTGAACCTGGAGTGGCTTATGGTAAGTGAAATAAATCAGAAGGAGAATGACAAATACCAGATGATTTCACTCATATGTGAATATAGAGGTAAAAAAAACAAGCAAACAGACAAAGAAAAACCCCAGAGGCCTCCCTGGTGGTACAGGGGTTAAGTCTCAGCACTATTAAGCCAGCATCAGGCACTGTGGCATGAGTTTGATCCCCAGCCAGGGAGCTGACCCATATGGCACAGCAGACATCTCCTGACTGCCTGCTGCTCCCCTCAGCAGTGTATTTCAGTAGATCCACCTGTTCTGCTCCCCACTCCGTCTCTGGTGAATCCTCTCACCCCCCAAAACCTCTGGCCTACATTCCAGTTCTTGTATGCATAAATAAATAAAATAAATCTTCAAAAAAATTCCCCCAAGGAACTGACAAAATTAAACTGAAACAAGCCCTAGAAATATGGCTAGACAATTAAGGCTACTACAGGGGGAGGGAGGGTAGGTGGTGAGGATTAGGGGGGAGGTAGCCCTATGGTCTAGGCCCTTGGACGGTGGGGGTGGTGTGATGACATATATCTGAGGAGGAGGTATGGACCTATTTCCTTAAATCCCCTAAATCATATGCAATGCTGTAAACCAATGTTACCTCCATAAGAAAAAACTAAAATAATAAGTAATAAAAATAAAATAAAAGGAATGTTACAGCAGGTGCAGTTATGGTTGAGTTCTCTATCTTTCAGTTCTTTGTCTTAAACCTGCTTAAAGAAGAAGCCTAAGGGGGCTTACTGACTTGCTCATGGTCACAGATGCTTTGGCTGCCCTTTCTCTGAATTATTATGTTACATGAATGAATCATTTTATTATCTCAATAATAATAGTTTCCATTAAAAAACCATTTGACAAGTGCTATGCTAAGTGGTTTAATCCTTTAACTCAGTTCATCTTCTCAATGCCCCTTGAGAGAATTACTTTTATCATCCCAATGTTATAAAAGAGGAAATTGGAAATTACAGAGGTTAAATGATGTACCCAGGATAGCACAGCAAGAAAGTACCAGAACCAGGATTTGAACTCTAGACAGTCTGACTCAGAAGCTCCTCCTTCTATTGCACTGCATGTTAGCTTCAGCTTCCCACCGTGGGACAGGTATCTGCATGTGCAGGGAACATGTCTTAGGATTTTTGTTTGTTTCTTTGCTTTTCATTTCTTTTCATTTTTTAATTTTAAGATGATCAGTTTAATTTATTTCTTTTAATTTTAAACCAATTTAACCTTGATTTAAAATATTATATAAGTTTCAGCTGTATAGCATTGTATTTGACATGTTGGCTCCTTTGTCATATATTTGCCATCCACATGTATATGTGTTTATTTCTAGGCTTTCAATTCTGATCTATCTGTACGTCTGTTTCCCCCTAACACCATGCTGTTTTGATTATTTTAGGTATGTAGTATAATTTGAAGTCAGGGGGCATGATAACTCCATTTTTGTTCTTTGGTCTCATGATTGCTTAGGCTATTCAGGGTCTTTTGTGACTCCATACAAACTTTTCTATTGTTTGGCTGCCCTTTCTATTTTATATTTTTCTATTTCTGTGGAAGATGCCATTGGAATTTTGATAGGAATTGCATTGAATCTTATATTGCTTTAGGTAAGATAATCAAGTTAACAATTAGCAATTTAATAATCCAATCCACGAACAAGGAATATCTTTCCAATTTTTGGTGCATTATTTCTTTAAACCATGTCTTACAGTTGTCAGTGTATAGAATTTTTTGCCTACTTAGTTAAAATGATTCCTAAGTATCTTATTCTTTTTGATGTGATTTTATGTTTTTATATTTTGTGTGTGTGTTTTAAATCTTCTGTCCACCCCTAATGACCTGACAGAGCGTGTTGTATATGATTAGTGTTGAAGACTTGTTGACTCACTGAATCTCACTGGTGGAACGGTCAGGCTGAAGACAGCCACTAGGTGGTGCTACACTCTAGAGAGTGAGAGGGATCTGGCTGACTGCAGGCAGCTCCTGGCAGGTGGGAAGGGAACACAGTCCAGAGGAGGAGGATGGGCTTGGTGAAGGAGGGGACTCCACACCTCTTGCAAGGAGAAAAGGGGGAAAGAGAATCTACCACCCAGGCTGCTGCCTGGTGTTGTTTCCCAGAAAGCAGGCAGTGAGAAGAATGACTGGGTGGGAGAGGGACAGGTTGCTGGTGGCAGCCTGCAGTAGGGAGCTGGGGGAGGGGGAACCGCCAGGAGGGCCTGGGCCTCCCACTTGCTCAGGATGCAGAGTACTAACAGCCACCTCAGCCTTTCAGTTCCGGTTCCATCCATATGTGTGGCTCCCTACTTCCCAGTTGAATTCCTCTCTGAATTTCAGGCCTCAGGAGAGAAATGTGCAGTGATGGAACCAGATCCCGCTGGCCCCAGCTACACATCTAACCTCCTCTTCCATGCTCACCCCATCGCTGGTCCCATCACATTGTGGTGGAGAAACAAAATGAGCACTGAACCCAGAGTTGGGATGGCAGACCTTAGATGAGGGTGGGCTGCCCTGGTCAGGCCTGGCTTCCTGCAGGAGGAAGGCCTGGCGGGCTGGAGGTGCTGAGTCTGTGCACTTGAGTGCCAGGACTTGCAGGGCAGCAGTGGATCCGTTTAGAAGGGAGAACAGGAGGGCAGAGCATGCCCATGGACTAGCTGCAGGCAAAGACAGCCGGCTTCCTCCTCTGTGAGGTGATCATACCAGGACACGCTTGCCAGTGAAAGGAAGCATTATCAATAATTACCTGTGACTGCAGGTGGAAACTGGGGCCGCTGTCAGGCAAACCGGGTTCTGTGGTCACCCAGCTTATCTGTAAACTGAACCCCCAATGAGGACCATCAAATGCTGACATCCTGTGACTTGGCTTTAAGGGGAGCCTGAGGCAGGAAACAGAAATGAGTTGAGAATATCCTACTTTTTTCACATTCTGAGATACATAGAAGCTTTGGGTGAAGCTCACGCATTGATTCCTGGATCCAATCAATGAATCCATCTATTAGTCCCCTGGATTATGCAGAGACAGTAAATTTGCATAAAGCACCCCAGGGCCCAGGCCCCAGAGACACACAGACACGCACCTCAGGGAGAGCTCCAGCTCCTTCTGCCCACCCCAGCTCTCTCGGTGGTGTTGGGGGCTTCCCTGCCTCCCTCCCAGTTGCGATCTAGCTCTATCCCCAAGGCCCCTGCCTTATCCATGGGGTGTGCCCTCCCTCTGCTCTGTCTGCCCCGTCTTAACCACTCTTCCTCATCCCAGCCCAGTTGCTCCATCCTAACAACCCCATGACAAATTACCCCATAGCGACATTAAATTGGCTGCTGCATCAAATTCGCGGATTTTAAGGCACGTATATAGCTCATTAACTCAAATTCAGCCCCTCCCCCGGCCCTCAAATCCTCCTTCCTCCTTCACTTATTTCTGAAGAAGGGAGTTGGCCAGAGGATGGGAGCCTCTTCCCTTGGAGGACTTTTTGGGTGAGGGAGGGACTTGAGGGCAGCGGGATAGGGACACTCAGGTCAGGACAGGGAAGGGCATCTGAGTCCACATGCTGCCCAGCTCCACCGGCAGAGGGCCCCTGGCTCCTGGGGGTGGAGAGCCCACGTGGAGGAGGAGCAGATCACCCCTTGGAGACCTTTCCTGGAGTAGCCAGGAAAGGGGTCCACCCGGATCTTGTGGGTTATCCTCAGCAGCC